ATTAAAAATTAAAATTTTAAAATTAAATTATAAATTATAAATAATTATTATAAAATTAAAAAATTAATTTTTTTTAAATTTGAATTCTGCGACAAATTTAATTTGTTGTTATTTCTGTCGCAATTTTGCAACAGAATATTATATTTGTACATAATTTTTGGAAAATCTGCAACAAATTTAATCTATTGTTATTTCCATCACAATTTTGCAATGGAATATTTTATTCGTCGCATAATTTTTGGGAAATCTGCAACAAATTAATATGTTGCTATTTCCGTTGCAATTTTGCAACGAAGTATTATATTCCTTATGTAATTTCAAAAATATTTGTGACAAATCTATTCTATTACAGTATTCTCTCTCAACATATCGGCAGTTGAGACTATTTCTTTATTGCTTAGTAAGTTCCGTTGCAATTTTGCAATAGATTGTATTCCCTAGCAATATTCTATTGCAATTTTCAATATATTTTTTTAGTGAGTCGTCGCATATAGATTTTATAGCATATGTAAGAATGAAAGTCAACGTATGCATGGATCATAACTACTATTTTAAGGCCGCTGGGACAATATTAAACATGTATATGTTGTTCAACATCATATTGAAATAATATGATCTACTAAATTAATTTTTATAATTAATCTAGCAGTGATATTTGTTAAAATTAGTTAAGAAAATAACCTTAATTGACTTAATGATATTTTAGTTATGAAAGTCAATATTATTAATTAATTAATTACATTATATTTGAAAATAAGAAATTTACCCATAATATACAATTTTACATAATTTGATTATGCCCGAAATATATATACGAAAATAATGTATATCTAGGACATATATTATGTATATTATTTGTAGAGGTAAATTAGAATTTTTATAGCCTAATATATTGAATTTTTTTTAATTACATTTATGTTATCATGAATTAATAACATTTTTGAAAATTTGAGTTTTTTTTTTTATCATTTTAATTAAATCCAACAGTTTTTTTCAATAAAAATTATTATTTCTAAAAAAAATATCATATTAAAATATTATTTAAATAAAAATACAAATCAACAACTTATTTCAAATTAATTTCTAACCATGACTAAACGATCATGAGAATATAGCTAAATCATAAAATATTTATTTTATACAATTTTACCCATATATCTAATATTGAAATTGTTACTGTGTTTATTATAACTTTTAACATGGTGCTAATAGCACACAAAATATATACCAACAATACATATTAATATAATACAAATACGAACTAACGAACTAACCAATAGTAGTCCATATAATACATACTAAAATTGATTTCAGCACACAATATATATTAACACAACAATACATATAAATAGCAGATAACGCATGCTAACAATCTATACAGACATGTCTTATTAAACCATATTTTATGTGATAATTAACACTAGTTAGCACGTACCAATACTCTTAATGAAATATACTTATTTTCAATATTCTTAACAATACAATAATATGGTATCCTTATTTAACTTATATACAATTATCAATTTACTACTATCTCGTAATACACACAAACCCAAAAACATATTTAACAACTTACTTTCTCCATCCCAGAAAATATGAGATCATTACTGTAGATACGGAAATTTAGGTAAAGTATAATTAGTAAACAATTAAGAAGTGTATTAGTAAAAATAATTATTATTTAGTAAAAATAATTATAAAATAAGATTAAAACAAGTAAATGGTTTAATTAAAATTAAAAAAATTATAAAATTTAAAATTTAAAATACGATTAAAGTGCATAATTATATTTCCAAAAATAGAAAACACAAGTTATGTAGGACGGACGAAAATAAAAAGTATTGACAAATTATGTGGGACGGAGGGAGTATTTAATATATATATATATAAGTTTAATTTTAACCCCTTGTGATTAAATCAGGATAATTTAGAATTTATGTTGATTTTTACTTTCTTGCATCCCCCGCGACCCCCAAATTGTCACCTCTCGCTGCCGTCTATGCCCATTTTTAAGAGTATTGAATGCGTTGGGCTATCTCTTGCATTTTCTGTATCTCTATTTGTACTTTAAACCCTCTATTGTTAGCAGTGACGGAACCAGCAGTAAAAATTTTTGGGACAAAATATCCAATTTTTTTTATCAATTCAATGTTTTTTTTTTAATTAATAGCACATCCAGGCAAAAAAAAAAAAAAGAAAATTGAAAAAAATTAAATGTTTTGAAAAAAAATTCAACAAAATTACATAAAATTCAATATTTTTTATTATAAAAAAAATTAAAGGCTAAAAATATAAATCAACAAATACATAAAATTTTTATGATTTTTTACATTATAAAATTAAAAAAAAAATAAGAGGGACAAATTACTAAAAAAATATATAATTTTACTATTTTTTACACTAAAAAAATACATATATTTTAGGGACTGGGGTCAGTCGCCCCCTTAGCCCCATGTAGATCGGGCCCGTGATTGTTAGTGTACTTATCTTAGATTGTGTACGAATTATCAAGGCTCAAGAACTCTAGAATGCTCTAGTCGGAATAACCTATATGATTTAGAAGATGTCATGAGCTATAAAATTTGTTGGTGTATAGATTAAAATGCTACTCATCATGAGAAAATATAAATAAATGAATGTACCTTAAAAAGGGGAATAACATTCACGTCATTCTATAGTTATTCATTATAAATATGTTACTATACACAATTGCAATAATATTTTTTTCCTTTTAATGAGCCTAAAAATATACAAAAAAAATTAAAAATTGTGAAAATTATTAGAAAATGATATGAACATATATATATAAAATGTTGAACTACTAAACCAATTATACTGAAAAAAAAAATTTTAAAAAAAAAAAGAAGAAAAATTATACTATGAAAGAAATTGGACAGACATTACAATTTATTGTAATTAATAACCTATTTGGATTTTTATTTTTTTTATTGCATTTAATAGAAAAGGGAAAGTAAATTAGAATTCTTTTCGACTTAATTGGAATTATTCTTATGAGAAAATAAAGGAATTTACTGAAAATGGTAAGATGATTTGATTTATATATTTAAAGATATTTATGAATATTTGCCTTGTTGATCTAATTGAGGCCCAACAAATTCCCAAAATACAACCTATTTTTGTAGGCCCACTCATACTTGGCCTTATCCATTATGCAAGATTGATTTTAATCTTTCTCATCGAGGATTGCATGTTAACCATCTATAATTTTTTTATAAATATATGCATTTTTGTACTCATTTTCACTGTTCTTGAATCATTTCTCATACTCAATTTGTCTTTCACTGTACTCCACTTTCGTTCTCTAGTGTCTTCTTCCTCTCTTTTTTTTCTTCACTTTCTCGAATCCCCTTGTAGTGTAGGCTCAATCTCTTGCTTTCACTACCAAAAATTGACTTTTTTCGTAGTGGTCAAAAATTTGTAACAAAAACTATTTTTCGTGCAAAATAGTCTTTTATGTCGATTTTGTTACGGATTTTGACCGCTACGAAAAATTGCAGTACAAAAAGTCTTTGTTGCGGCAAAATCCGTAACAAATAAATGACGGTCAATGCTCTAAATAAACTCTTGCTAAATGTATGGGTTACGGTTTGTGTATGTAACAAAAGAATCAATCATGTTTTTGCGACGGCATATGTCCGTAACAAAAAAAGCAGAACAAAAGTAAAATTCTGCTAGAGATCTTTTGTTACAAGATATGTCTGTAACAAAAAATGCGAAACAAAAATAAATCATGTCAGAAAACTTTTGTTACGACATATGTTCATAACAAAAAATGCGAAACAAATATCAGAAAACTTTTTGTTACAAAAAAATTTCGGTAACAAAAACTATGGTACAAAAACCGTCTCAGCGTCAAATAAAATTTCTGTCGCCACAAATGAAAATTGGTATTTCATACAAAAGCAATTGCATGATAAAATAACTTAATGCATAACTTTATCATAAGTAATCCAAAATATCCTTAATGAACCCGACAAAATGACGTCAATCTAATAACATTTATAGACATTTTAAAAGAAAAAATTAACCATCAAAAGCACTTTAAAGCATCTCAACTACGGCCATCATGCCCTACACCAATCTAACATCTACCTAATACCCCAAATTCAAAAGGTAGTTACCTAAGTAACTCCGGCCATCATGCCCTACACCAATCAATCCAATACCATACCGCAATACAATATTAAAACCAACTAAGAATGACAACTACGGACGACCAAACACATTGACTGTAGAATCACAAATGAGGCAATAAGAGGCGGCGAACCAACTGCAATGAATTTCCAAGATAAACAAGAATTTTATTATTGCAATTAAATCGTTTAATTCTCAAAGAATACAACTAATAAAAAAAATATGTACATTCTTGTTATCTTCGTCGAGTACCTCACCGAAGATCTTCGCTACGGAACTCGTTGGGAGTATAAGTGGGGTATTTGGGACCGTAACAGCCGTAATAAACACTTTAACAATGACTAGAATATCACTTATATAAACACGAAAAACCTGTGCTAGTTATGACAAAAAATGACTTTCATAAATAAAGTTAGGAATACATATGAATTGCAAAATTGTAGCGAAATAAGAAAGTAAATAATATATTCTGAAATATATAACAATAAAAAATATCTATCAACTTGTTGTAGAATCAAATCCTAAATAAGAATATAGCAATGTTTTAAATAAAAACATAAACATCGGACTGACCACCTAACATAGTCAAAACTATACAACAACAATAAACCACCAAACAACTCATACAACACCAACAAACTAAAACAGCCCAAATGACCACCAAATAATGAATAAACCGTAAAAGCACAAGTCCATATGAGGCCGGACAACAACAATAAACCAACATTTATAAACCATAACACTATAATCCATATCAGTCCGTACAACTATAGATAAACCATATGAATGAAATCCTCCTACAAACATAACAGCCTATATAGCAAAAAATAACCACCAAACAGGCCTTACAACAACAAGGGTCGATCCCATTCAGTCAAGACGCTCCAATAATGACAGATTGCGAAGCCATGAGTTATCAGTGGATGTAAAGTTATTATTGGCTGAGATCACGGGTGTGCAGGTTTGAGAGATTGACAAAATGTTGTGGGACAGTTCCTCCAAAGGAAGTAGAAGAGAGATTAAGATAATGTAGTTGCTTCATCGATCCTAAAAACCCAGGAATCATTTTGGATCGAAAGTCGTGCCCACTCAAGTCTAAAGAATTCAGATACTTTAATTCAACTAGCAAAGGATCTAGGCTTTCACTACTTAAGATATTACTCAACAACATACCATTGTATCTGAGAATAAGTTGGATAATATACCCTGTAATCTCATCACAAGTAAGACCTCCCATGTGCAGTAATCGATGCTCCTCCACGAAGGTAGTATAATATTTGTAGGATCATCAAGGCTCGGTTTGAACTTGCGAAAAGCTTTCCTCTCTACTGTAATGCAACCAATTGATGTATTTTTAGCAACACATAAAATCCACAAGTCTGAAACAAGCAGTATAATAGAAAGGAGAAGAAAGCAAGCAAATATCTTCTTCATATTGACAAAAATATAAACAATATACAAAATGTTTATAGTGAAAGTATGTGATAAACAGAAAAAGATTCATCAATTTTTATCGAGTAGCACATACGTTTAAGTTCTTTCACATCCAATGTTTCTTCATTGCAAACTTTCCACACGCCACCCATTAAATGCATTTAATAACACAAATTGAGTAAAGAAAGTCTGGCAACTTGGAACACCAAAAACATTCAGCATGCATTTAGTCTATCAATAATATTTTATCCTGCTACCATTACCATTAGATATTTCTTATTAAATTGAGATAAGAAGAAAAAAGGCTTCAATATTTTATAATCGACATTCAAAATTTGAACTACATTTTTCACAGATAAGTACACTAACGTCTATATTAAGTTAATATGGAAGAGATCTATAAGTTCACACACATAAAACAATGTTTTTGACACATGCATCATTTAACTTACTTTTAGAATATCACATCTAATATATCTTTATTTAAAAAATTTAAATTCAAAACATTCAATAATACTAATACACAACTAAATATTCCCTCCATCCACGTAATTTGGGTGTGTTACTGTAGATACGAAAATTTAGGTAAAATATGATTAGTAAGTAATTAAGAAGTATATTAGTAAAAATAATTATTGTATATCAAAAATAATTGTATATTAAAATTAAGATAATTAAATAGTTTAATTAAGATTAAAAAAATTATAAAATTTAAAATTTAAAATGTGATTAAAGTGTATAATTATATTTTCAAAAAAGAAAATGAAAGTTATGTGGGACGGACGAAAATAGAAAATAGGGACAAATTATGTGGGACGGGGGGAGTATATTTAAAGACGTGATAATATTTCAAAATCTTATTATAAATCTAAGTTACCCAAAATGTAATATAACAAGACGGACATTGTCCTTGGCTTTTCCACATGATGACCAACCGGCAATGATATCTTATTTATTTGTTTTTCATAAGATTAATGGGATAATGCATTTATTCTACACTACCTATTTTAAGTTTGAATACTTTTATTGAGACTGAGGCATGTGTATATAGACTTTGGAATCTCATTTCACTGTTACAATAATTCAATATTTATTGAATACACATCTTTATAAAGTAATTGAACAATAAAGGCTATGCATCACATATCTGCAGCATAACACAACTTACACTAAGTTTTCGCGTATCATAGTTTCAAACCATTAAGCCTCATAATTTTAGATGTTTAACAATGCTCTAGGGTGTCTAGAAACTACTGTCTAGATCAGCACCAGTAAGTGAAATCACATCTTTTTGCATCAGTACATCACATTCATCCAAAGATGACGAACACACACAAACATTCAAGGGAAAATATAATAGCCTCATGCACATTAGACAGAAGACAAAACGCATTATAAAAGCCGAGAAGTATTAAATTTCTTCTATTTTACAAAACTCATTGCAAGTGAAATATCAAATTTGTTCCATCAGTGTAAATAAACCCTTAATTTTATATACTACTACACATTCTTAAAAAATACGACAAAACTCATTGCACTTACAGTCAAGTCCCATAATTTGAATTTACGCTAGTTGGTCAAAATAGATTCAAAGTTTTCCAACACGTCAGATGCCATTATAACTAACAAGAGAAATACACATAAGGTGTGGAAGAAAATAACAAAACAGACTACCCAACACAACTAGCTATACAAGAGTAATATGTGAGCTAACTAGTCACATGAAAGTATCGCTGCACCGAAGGATTGACACACAAAAAAAAAATCACATCATACATTTAAGGCAATGAAGTAAACAACACTCAATTAACGCACGAAAGAATCAATTGCAGCAAAGACACCACTGATAATCAAGATTCAGCAAAAAAAAAGAGTTCAATTTTCAATTCAAGCATGCCAAACCAAGTCAAGATATTTAAATCAATTTTATATCACAACCAATAGCCGATATAAGATTCACAGGAAAGATAAATCAACATAGAGATCACATAAAATCCTAGGCAATGCAATTCAACCATCACAGAAAATAATTGGGGCGCACAAGTTCAACAAAATTCATAACACTAACTAATCTAAGGAAGAATATCCAAAAATTGAATTAGAAAATCACATGCTTAACTCTTTAACATTACTACCACTTCAATAATTATCAACACAAACTTCATGGCAAATTTCTAGTCATTGGGTTCAACAAATTCAATATTAATTGGCAAGCAAGAATATCAATTGCTGACCAATAATTATCCCAAAATTTAAAATATTAAAAGAAGAAGGATGAAGGGATATCACCAGATCGGAGGATGAAGACCGGCGGCGCCGGTCGGCGCAGCTGGGTTTGGGTGAGCGCAGGTCTGGGCGCTGGCGCAGAAGTGATCGGACTCGGTTTGAAGAGCGTCGCGGTGGAGGCGCGCAATGGAGTGGAGCCCGGCGGTTGCGGTGGCTTGGTTGTTGGTCGACGGGTTGAAGCGCGGCCTGGCGTAGTGGAGGAGCTGTGAATGGCAGTGCTCAGGCTAACTGTGTTGGCGGAGGCGGAGGTGGTGCACATATGTCGACGTCGCGGTGGCTGAGGCCGGAGGTAGAGGCAGACGGTGGTGCGGCGGCGGATTGCGTGAGGCGGTGGCGCAACGGGCAGCAGAGGAGGACGAATGGCGACGGGTTGAGAAGTGTTATTTGAGTATTAGTGCCAGGAATTAATTTAAGGATTTTGGGATTTATTTTTTAAATTTTCTTTTTTAAAAGAAAACATTTAGGGTGTGTTTATACGAGGGATTTTGTGGGATTATTACTATTCTCACAAAATTTTTTTACAAAAATATCAAATCAAATATTTATTTTTTAATTTTTATATTATATTAAAAATTAATTTTACATTCAAAATATCATATCAATTTTTATTTATATCACATCATACAATTATTCAAATTCAAATTTTTGGCAATTTTCATAATAAAAATTAGTTTTTGCTACAGATCTTTTATTGCGACTATAGAAACTGCTACAAATGAGCAGTTTTTTTAGTGTTAACTTCAATGAAGCTTGAGGGATATTGTTGTCACACAAAAAATTCTATCAATAAAAGCGGGCCGATTCCGAAGACTTCTGGCCGATCAACAGGCAATCCATTAAAGTGATGACTTAGCCCAATTAAATGATCATGAAGCTCTATGTTTGATAGAAGAAAATGTCACGACTATAGGTTAATTGGCTATTAATCTCATCTTTACGAAGAGTTCACATGACCATTAATTGATCGATGAATAAGTGAAAGTAGTGGCGCAACCGTTACGATGATGAATTAAGATGTGTGTGATTAATGGAGATCATTGAGTATGATGGTTACGAGCAAATGAATGCGCAACGGTTACAAGGTTTGTGGAATGAAAAATGATAAATATGAAGAGCATCCATGTGAAAAAGGACATCCAATTCATCCACTTAATCTATCTTTAATTCTACTTCAATTTCTTTGCATTTTTCTTCTTTTGTGTTTGTAGAATAATGTTGAATCAATCTTTGTCAATAAAACTCGTTTGCGCTGCCTTTTTTTGATTATTTTTTGTGTTATTGGTTCCTAAATTTATCGCATACCATCGGGACTTTACATCGAGTCGTCCACGAACCCACTAATCCTCTCGGTGAGAGGTTTTAGGCCGGAAATTATTTTTCAGGTCAACAGATACCTATGTTTCTAGCATCAAACTAATTGTCTTGTGTCTCTTTTTTCTCTAGTTCAATTTCTCTTTCGATTTTGTGTGTTGTGTAATGTTCATTTTTCAACTTCAAGGTTGTATATCATTGTTAGGGGGGGATAGGGGATAAAGTGGGATGTTTGGTCATATTTTATTGTTATTGTATTGGTGTAGTATCCGTGTGGTTGGTATGTAAGTGATATTTAGAGGACTTGAACCTCAACACTACTTTATTGATTCAAAGTGCTTTCGATTTACTAAATATATGTTTGATTTAATTGATTTACTCAAATTTAAGAATTTCTTTGTGTTTTTCATTGGTATATTTGAATGTGTAACAACATTTGCAGTTCAAAAGATAATAACAAATGATATCAGAGTCTATTAATTTTAATTTTTTTTTTGTGAAAAACTTAAATCAGTTTCGTTTTATGAAAATTGATTCTTACTGGAGTACATCTTGCGTATAAACTATATATATAAGAATGCCTTTAAAGAACAAAAAGAAAACTTATTTTATGTGGTCTTTTCTCTTAGATGTTTGTTTCTTTCTGAAGATCAAAAAAAAAATTAGTTTTTTATGGGTTTTCTTTTAGGTTTTTGTGTTTTTAATTAGATATGTTGTAGTTTGGTTGTTTGAGAGTTTATTTGGTCGTTACTTATGGTTTTTTAGTATAAAATACTAAGGATCTGAAAGGAAATATGTAAGTAATTCTCCGTTAGATATGTGTGCTCTTGCGATAAATAATTAATGATACTGAAGAATCGTATTAAATAACTATATTGGATTAAACTTTTGTATAAAAACTTCCAGCGAATCATTTACAATATTCAAGCATTTGATTGTAAAACTAATTTAACTGTTTGAAAATAAAAAAGTGTGAAGTATTTTAATAAATCAATAAGAATAATAAAAGCAATTGAAACATATCATACAACTCATTTTCCTCTTGAAAAGGTGATTGAGTTGGATGAACTGCTTAATCTTTCATCGTATTAAATTTGGTTGATCGTGTAATTAGAAAGATTAGTGTGTATGGATATGCTAAAGAACTATCAGATAAACTAAATAATTGGTACACTTAAATTTTTCTTCCAAATCATATTTATTTTTCAAAAACATTTCTTAGTTTCAAACTTGATATTTCAAAAACTATAGATAAAAATATTGACATTTTTAACAAACTTATTGAAGATATTATCTTGACCAGTAATAAAAATATTGATTATTATAATGCTATAGTTCTTTAAATGTTATTGGTGGTTCTTATTTTTCTCTAAAGTCTACAATTTAATATGATAGAATCATAAACTTCGATGTAGTTATTAATAGTTTAAAAAGTAAAAAAAAAAAAAAAAAAAAAAATTGACTTGCAAATAAATAAGACTAATACTAAACAAAATAATGGTGAAATGATGCATATCACGGATAGATCACTTTTTAGACCAAATGAAATTGGTTCTTCTAATAATAATAAAAATGGAAATAATTTTCATAATAATTCAAATAAAAAGAAATATAGAAATAAGTATAAAATAGATCTAAAACCCCTTCAAAAAATATTAGGCACTATTTTAATTTTGGTGATCCATCTCATTATGTTAAGGGCTGCCCTTAGAATAAAATATAATAATAATAATAATAATAATAATAATAATAATAAAATACCAGGGAACTTGCTAATATAATATGAACCGATCAAAGTTTAGGTGATATTTATATTATTAAGGCTAAATATTAGAAAATTAATATCATTTAAGAAAACAAATAATATATTGATTCGACTTGCACATAACATATGATACCCTTTGAGAAATATATATTCTAACTATAAAACTTTAACACGGTGCAATATTTCAATGGCTTATGAACGCTATGTAAAGTTGAAAGAACGGTCATTATAAATTAAAATTTAAAATTGATTTTGTGCTAACATTGTGCAATTTTAGACATATTCCTAAGTTGTGTAAGAATATAATCTCACGTAATGGTTTATCCCTTTTAGGTCTGGAAGAACAATAAGGTAAAAATTCTATGAAAATTGCCAAATGTGCTTTAGTTGTTCATAAACTTAAAATAAAAAATAACATGTATGTAATCTTTGTTGATTCGATTAAAATACTTGTAAATTCTATTCATGTTGTTTTTTATATAATTGAACTAAAGTATAGAATATTATAACATTTCAGTAACAGAGGTCTTGAAAATTTGTATAAAACTGGTTAGTTTGTAAATAAATTTTTTTTTGTTGTTCCTTTTTGTGATAATTGTGTTTATAGTAAATATCATAGAGTTTAATTCACAATAACCCCCTAGAAATTCAAAAGTTTCAAAGGAAATTTTTAGTACACACTACAAAAAAAAAATAGTATATTTGTAACGGAATTCCGTCACTAAAGATCACGTAGCTAACGTAATTCCATCATTAATTTCATCTATAATATCATTAGTAACGGAAAAATCTCGTTACAAAAATGATATTTTCTTGTAGTGACATATATTCTTATCAACAATTGCTATTTTTAAGAAAATTGTGGGTATTTTTAATGAAGCAAAAATTTGATATATTTGGAATTTTTAAATCTAAAAAATAATTAATTGAAAATTAAACTGACAAGAAAATTTAATGTTTGAGAACATATAATAGTCTTGAATTTTTCAATGCTTTATTGAAAGTTTTAGTATTGAAAATAGTACTAAAAGACAAAAATAAAATAAAATGAGGTGGCTGAACGGATGAATCGGACCCTCTTGGAGAGGGTTAGAAGCTTATTAGCTTCCTCTATTTTGTCAAAAATATTTTTAGGAGGAAACGATTATAATAGCAACCTATTTAATTAATTTATCCCCAGCAATGTCGCTAAATGGTTCTTTATAAATTTAACAAACTTGAGAATTCTTGGTTATTCTACCTTTATACATGCATACAATGATAAATTAAATTTTATAGCTGAAAAATTTGTAATTCTGAGTTAGCTCGAAGATGTTAATAAGTATAGACATTGGTGAATTTCCATATTGTATTTTAAGGCCTTAGTAGTTGAAAATGAAAATGAACTGTCTTATTTGAAATATGAAGAGCAAAATAATAATAATAAAACAAATAGTGATTCTAGTGGTGCTTAAAATGAGGTGAAGCAAAATTATTTTCGAAGTTATGAATTCTAAAAGTGATCGGGATGGAACCATTATTCCTGTTTTGTTTTATGGTTAAATTAATCTCAAAATAATTTTAGAGAATTTTGTGTTGAATTATAATACGATATTGTTATAATAACTAAAAATAATTAGAAAATTATCAATTACACTAAAAATAGCTAATTAGAAAGACCGGAAATAGCTTATTGTAAAGAGGAAACTACCTAGAACTTAAAAGATATCAAGTAATTAATAACTATGATATTTTCTTTTTTATATTTAGTGTTTTTAAGTCATTAGATGATAACTAACTAAAAGTTTAATACGAGGAAATTAATTATAAATTCAAATCTAAATGGAAAAATATAATGGGTAAGGAAATAAAGTCTTTAAATGATAAGAATACATGTGTTTTGGTGTTTGAAATGTTTAATTGTTCTATTTTTAACTGTAAGTGGTTATATAAGGTCAAATATGAAGAAAGTTAAGGTTAGATTCAAAGCTAGACTAGTACCTAAGAAATTTACTTTTAAAAAAATAATATATTATAATTAAATATTTGCATTAGTGTATGGTTTATGCTTTCTTTAGTTGCTATTAATTAAAAACTAAAAAAGCTAGATGTAAACATAACTTTATATATATATATGGTATGTTAAATGAGAAAATATGCATGAAGCAGTATGAGGGTTTTGTTGATAAATATGAAATAGATTATGTTTGTCTCTTAAAAAAAAAATCACTTTATTGATAAATATGAAATAGATTATGTTTGTCTCTTAACAAAAAAATCACTTTATTGTTTTGGATAATTAAATATAAAATTTGATGAATGTATAAAATCACTTGAACTTAGTATGACTAAA